CTCCAGCGGGCTGCGGAGGAGACGGGGCCGTCACACCACGGCAGGGGAAAGAACCGGCGTGCCGAGCTCTCACCGCCCTGATCTGAGCTCCACCACCCCAGCTAGACTCGTCGGGATCCCACAGGATGTCTTGAAGCAACGCAAAAGGAAAGGAAGGACAGGGGCAGAAAGATAAATCTCCTCCTGGACTACCCCACCGCGCTGATGGGGCTGCGGAGGAGACGGGGCCGTCACACCACGGCAGGGGAAAGAACCGGCGTGCCGAGCTCTCACCGCCCTGATCTGAGCTCCACCACCCCAGCTAGACTCGTCGGGATCCCACAGGATGTCTTGAAGCAACGCAAAAGGAAAGGAAGGACAGGGGCAGAAAGATAAATCTCCTCCTGGACTACCCCACCGCGCTGATGGATTTAGCAAGGATTTGAACTTCGGTGGCAAAAGCCACAATTTTTAGGTGCTGCCGGCATCTTTTCGTGGCTGGCACAGTCCAAACGACCTGCTGGGAGTCTCAACCCTGCAGCGCCGAGCCCTCCAAGACCGATGCGAGAGGCAGAGCGGCGCCGGCTGCTGTACCGAGCTCTCGCTCAAACCCTTCCTCCCTCAGCCAGCCACCGGCATCCTCAGCAGCCTTTGTCTGCCCAGCTCAGCCCGGCGGCACCTCTCGGTCCCCGGCGTTGCTGTACCTGTGCGTCTTCTCGTGGGCTTTGCACGCAGCCGGGTCGGAGAAGGCTTTGTTACACTCCCTGCAGGAGAAGGGTTTCTCGCCGGTGTGGATACGGATGTGCCTCTTGAAGTTACCGGTGTGGGTGAACTCCTTCCCGCAGTCCTAGGGACGGAGAGAGACAGGCGCAGGCACGGCTGGGGGCACCCCGCGGCCCCCGAGGGACGGAGACCCCGCTCGGGGCCGCAGCCGGCCTCACCTCGCACTTGTGCGTGACGGAGCCGTAGGCTTTCGACTCAGTCCTGTCGCTGTAAGTACCCAAACGCAGCAGCCGGGTTTCGCCCGAGTTCTCCTGCCCGGAGTCAGTGCTCCCCGATTCGTTATCTTCAGCATTTTCTCCATTTTCTAACTGGGGTTGCTCTTCCTCAGGGATTTTAGCCTCCTCTTCCTCCTCTGCCGTCATCTCCCCCTCTTCCTCCTTCCCTTCCAGCTCCATCTCTGCAGGCAGTTAGAGAACGGGGACGCTAGAGATCGGAAGCAGCATCAGAGACACAAAACCCACTTGTATTTCCTAACTCTAAGCCCGGGTTTACGGCGATGGGGATTAGACCTGCCCTACTGTACCCGGGGAAATCCTGGTTCTCCATCGCACGACATAGGTGCTGAGACCTCTGCCTGGACTCGGTTTGGATTTGCAGATTATTAGCCCTAAAATCCACAAGCCTACGCAGACAGAGGAGCATTTCCCAACCCCTCCCAGCTCTGCCCCAAGGAAAACCACTCCTGCGGGCTCCACGACTGGCAGGAGACGGCGTTTGCACAGCAAAACTCATGCTAACAAAACTCACTGGATGGAAAACAAGGGTTCAACTTTGCCTCGCTTTGCTTCAGCTCTGCTGAAGGGAATGGGAAGACAGCAAAGTGCCCGTCACCGCCCTCGCCCACAAACACACCTCCCATTTCGGCACCCGGAGAAACGTCGCCCTTCGCCGCGGGGCTGCCGTTGCCAACCACGCTCTCCTCCGGCTGCAGGCAGCTGGGAAATTCGGCGTTGAGGCCCTCTTGGATGGCAAGATCTGCCCCTACAAGCAACAGAGCGTCTCGAGCACGCTCGAGGAGAGCTCGGGCTCCGCGCAGCAGGCCAGGGCATGTTGGGGGGGGTGACAGCGGGATTTGGGGCATCACCCACTGGTGGCTGACCTTCTTGACCACCCAAGGCTTGCGCCTCAGGCTGTGTTGCTGCGGCCGCAGGCGTCTCTTCCATCTCCTTCGGGTCGGCAGGAACAGGTTTTATTTTGTCAAGATCACTCAGTGCTTCTGCAGTCGACCTCTTGTGCTCGAGAGCCGCCTTGTCGGCCCCTGTGAGGGAAGAGGCAAAGCGATCCAGCTTTTGCCGCCTGCGCAGATGCACCCCGACGGCTGCTAGAAGGATTCCCAAATCCCACAAAGATCCAAGGAAGCATCAGTTCTTCAACTGCTGGTGCCTCACCAGGGGATCAAACCCCATCCGGATGCCTTTGCGCACCGGGAGATGTATCCAGGCTGTGGGTTTGGACGGTGGCCGGAGAGCGTGGCCGCTTCGTGGGCAGTTTTCAGTCTCCCCCGATGAGGGGAAGCGAGGAGGCTACGTACCGATCTCGGCGGGGGGCTGCTGGCTCTTGGCAGGGTTTTCTGCCGGCATGGTGAGGGCCTTGAGAGCGTTGCAAGCAGTAACGATCTCCTGCATTTGGAGGAAACCCGCCACGGCCAGCACGTCTTCCACGTTGTCGGAGTTTAGGCTTAGCTTAGCCGTGTACATGAACTCCAAAACCTGGCCCAGGCCTGCAAGGGAGGTGATGCAACCAGAAATACGCTCTCACCTCTCGGCCGTGCAGTTTTGAAAAGCCCAAAGAGCACGAAACAACAGGCAGTAACAACAGTTTAAGCAGCTCAGAGGGATATCGGGTAACCCTCTGCCTACCTGCCGCATTGCTGATGTCGAGGTGCACCACGTCCTTCTGGTCGACGAAAAGCATCCTGAAATACTCGCTGCAGGCCGCCAGCACGGCTTTGTGGGCCTTGAAGTCGATGCCGTCCACCACGAAGGTACAGTCGCAGAGCAGACCCAGCTGCCGCTGCTGGTTCAGCTGTTCCAGGACTTGCTTGCTGTGCTGGGGGAAATCCATGGCTGTGGGGAGAAAAAAACAAAGCCCGGGACGGGGGTGAGACGGGTGCCAGAACCCTGATGCTGCATCAGAAAGGGCCACGAAACAGGACAGATCACAAAGTCAAGGTTCAACCACATCCCAACCTCCCTGTTCGTTAAAAAAAGGGGCCCAAAAAGCCTAATTTCAGCTCCTTGCTACAGCCGCCTGCCTCTCCCACCAAACACAACCCCAAACCCTCTCCTATAACAGGCCCGACACCAGCACGGGGCTGCAGAGAGAGTTGATTGAATAGTCAGTATATCCTTTTGCCATTCTAACAGCATTTAAAATACATTTATTGCTCTTCATCCAGCCCAAGCTGCGAGCAGGAACGCTGTTGCCTCTGCAAACGTGTCCCTTCAGCGAGCGGGCGGTGCCACCGCTCCCACCGAGGGCACAGCGCGGAAAGCGTTCATCAAAACCTTCAAGCTGCTGCTCATTTTAGGCACTTGTGTCATGATACCGAGGGATTTTTCTTTTTTTATTGCGAGTTTGGAGGGAGTCCTCCCTGCTCGAAGCACGACTGTGGCTGAGGAATTCTGCAAACTCTTGGAAAAACTGCAAAAGCGCATTTTTCCAAGCAGATCCTTGTTGGCAAAGGTCGAGGGACAGCACGAGTTCCATCTGCTGCCGCACGTTGGGTTTTCTCCTGGGCTGCACCTGCAGGGCACAGCATAGAGAATGAAGGGTGTTCACTTAGCTTTGTTTTCCAAAAATGATTCCTGTGCAGGCTGAAGGGATTGTTTCATCACTTTCTGGGCAAGTGATGAGCAAGGAGGGTGGAGAAAGCAAAGGGGGACTATCCACAGTTATTGTTCAACCTTCCAGGACAGGAAATCCCTAAAGCTCTGGATGCTGGAAGACGCAAGGTTATGGCCAGGGGAACACTCTTGGTTCCGATGCTAAGTCGATGCTCCATGTCTCCGCGAAGGTTTCCAGCCCAAAGCAGTTGCTTTTCCACTTTACCAGCTCTTAAAAGCAGCATGAAGAGTCTCAGGTTGGGAAAAGGCGACAGGTTTCCATAAAACTAGGTCGCTTCCAGGCAAGCCAGGAGCACATCCCTTCCTCCGGATCCATTCCAGCAGGCGAGCACCACGGGCAGAGGGAGCCTCCTCCTGTCTGCAGCGGGTGCTAGCAGCATGCTCGGTGAAAGATCTTCCACCCAAGGATGGATTTGCCTTCCAAAATCATTCCTGGCGGGGATGAGAAGCCCAGACACCTCCGACAGCATTGGATTGTGCATGGAGGGAGAAAGCTTCACTCCCAAAATGCTGTTTATCTTTGCGATGAACTCACTGCCACAACTCTCCCCCAAGACTCCAAAAGACGGGGAATGTTTTAACCAAACACCCACAGCCTGTCCCAAAATACATCCCTTGATAGCAAAAAAAAAAAAAACCAAAACCAAAAAACAGTATTTGTATAAAAATCTGTCTAAACCCCCACACACGCATGACCCTGTAAGGTTTGCAAAGGAAGCTCTGGGAAAAAAGGGGAGGATTTTTGCAGCAGGACAAACAATGCTGCCTTCCATGCACCAAAAGCTCTGCGCAGCAAGACTTGAGAAATCATGACGGTTTGATGCACTAAAAGACTATTTTCGGTAATTTGTAGGAGGCACTTTGCATCTGAATAATGCTTTTTATCGCTCCCCGATTGGACTCACCTCAGCTTCGTACCCGAGCTTTGCAAAGGAAGCAAACTCCCAAGAAATTAAACTCTTCCTGAAAAAACTCATCTTTTCTGCAGTTTCCTCATCACGTTACAGCTTTGTCAGAGCACGTGAGCGCAGCAGGGCAGAGATTGGGACAAGCTGCTTATCACCCTCACGCCCGAACCCAGCACCCAACGTCCCCCAACAGCTGAGATCACCTTCGTACACTAAAATCCCTGATGCCAAGCCTTAAAAATCCCAAATATCTGGATCTAAAAAACCACGGTGCACCCAAAGTGCCACCCTGGTTCCTTGTCACCGCTCCAGCAGGGCCAGCTCCTGGCTCTGGTGCTGAGATCCATTTCCTGTCTCTGACCGAACGGGATGTGCTGAAACAGGGATGGATCCAGGGAGGGCAAATGCCAAATCAGGCATTGCTGGTCCACCTGACTGCAAAACTAATTAGCACAAACCCATCGCTGTCGGCTGTTTAAGGTAGCGGCGCTGTCTGAGGACGCGTGTCTCAGCTCCTTACCCGAAGAACAAAGATAAGCCAGGATCGGTGCCCGACCTCACCCCTGCGCTGCCAGGAGCGGAGATCCAGAGGACCAAGGCTGCGAGTGAGACAGTTGCGGCTCTCCTCCAGTTTCCCCCCTTCCTGGTGCTAAAGTTAGTCTCTACGTGGCCATCCTGGGAGAAATGGGACGAAAAACTCCGCTTTAAAACCCAGACCTCACATGTCAAAGGCACCAGGGCCTGACATCACCAACCCAGGACGAGGTACCCCCCAATTTCACCTTGTCAGAGGCATGCGAGCACCGTTTCCCCTCCTGCCCTCTCCCCAGTGTGGCTGTCGAGTCTCTCATTACCCAATTAACCACAGAAAAGCTTCGTTATGAGAACACCCATGCCCGTTGCATGCGCTCACAGACATAAATACAGCGGCTACGGTCCTGGGGAGCTTCCCACACGAGCTCCATTAAGCTCTCTCACTTAATAACGACCTGTACCTGCCACCTCAGCATCTACCTATTAAAAAACCACCCAAAACCTTAATAAATTGGAAAAAAATTGGTTTAAACGTTGCCTTTCAACGCTGTCACCATCCAGCCATCCATTCTTACGCTGGGAAGATAAAAAGGAGCGGGGATTTACTTTCTGCCTACCGTCATCTCCCTTCTCATGCGTCAGCTCGGGGAACAACGCAGCCCTAATCCTTTCAGTCTCTGCGAAGAGGAGTCTGTCCTCATTTCCAGTAACTGATTCTACAACACTTTCAGTTAAGAAAAATAAAGTTAAGAGCTAATCTGACCAGAGCACTCAAGGTACAGATGTGTTAATAATACCAGTTATGAAATAGAGAAGGGCCCTGGAGTTTGTGGTCGGCCGCAAAACTGGAAGGTGAGCTGGTACTCAGATCTAAGTGGAGGAAAAATAATCACAAGTGATGACAGGCAGGAAAGAAACGTGGTGAAAATGAACTAAAAGGAGAAAGACACGAGGAGAGGGATGAGCAGAGACACTCTGGACCCCACCCAGCGAACAGACACCCTGCAGACCCCTCGGTTATTTAGTTTTCAGGCCCATGGATACACTTATATGGCTCCCGATGTGGCTGTGCAGGCTGGGCTGCCCACAGGTGAGCGGAGCCCTGGGCTGCAGCAGGCAGGGAACCAGCGGGGCTGCTGAGACATCATGCCGTGAAAACCACCCGTTTCTGCAGCGCCCGGATGACGAACTACGAAACCTTCACCTTCTTGTGAAAACCCTGCCTTTATGACGCTGCCTGATCTCTGAGATTTCGGCAGAAGCTTACAATAAAGAAATGCAATTAAGGAAGCGTGGCTTGTCCATGAAATGCGTCATCCGTGCCCGAAAAGCGACGCCCGCAGAGGGCACGTACAGCTGGTATGAACTGTCATCACGCCAAAAAGGATGTCAGAAGAAGAGAAAAAAACCTTTTTTCCCTTGAGTTACTGCACGATGCTTTGAAGTTTGCTCCGCTCTTCTGCTGGCGACGTCCTTGACACGCAGGTAGACAGCTCGCGCCATGGCAGGGGACTTGTCTTGCGCTGCGTCAGCTGTCGGGGCTGCGTCCCCCACAGGCATCTTACCGTGTCCCAAAGGGATAGTGGCTGCCCCACGCGTGGGGGGTGGACAGGGCTTTCACTCCTGACCTTGTCCCCAGACCCCCCACGGCTCCCTGAGGGGGTCACATCTCCCACGGCGGACGCAGAGCCCGGCAGCTGCCTAAGGGGGGGTCACACGGG